TATATATAGACTCTAAATGAATGAGACAGAAACATTTTTAAAATGTAAAGCACCCTAACTTAGGCTCTGACCCAAGTGGCCATCCTCAGCATCCCAAGCTTGGGAGCAGAGCGGGGGCTTCACGCAGGCCCCGGCCTGGGGCACCCGAGGGACCCAGGCTCACTGGCCAGGCCCTCCCGGCAGCATGGGCACTGTTGACCAAAGAAGGAGAAGGTCCTGCTCAGCACCAGCCCTGAGCCCCAGCCCTGACCTCACCTGCTCCCAAACCCAAAATCCACCATCCTCCCCTAAAGTACGGGTGGGCCCCGAGGGGCAGGACCCCCGCCTGGACCCGCGCCGGCCTTGCGGTCAACGCCTGCTGAATAAGTGAGTTCAAACACACAAGGCAGGGCTCTGTCCTCACAGAGGGAATAGAAAAGAATCTGTACTTAGTGTCCTAGGGATGCACCCCAGCCATTACTCTAGAAGAATCCTAGGACCCAGCAGGATTAGCTTTTAAGGTCATTTATTGTCTCCCAGTATGACCACTGTGAGAAGGATTTGCCTATCTCATTTCTGGTTGTGCTGTTTGGTTGAATACTTTTCTATTATTTTTTCTTTTCTCTCTCTCTCCTTTTTCTTTTTTTCTTTTGGAGACAAGGCTATGCAGCTCTGGCTGGCCTTGAACTCACTATGTAGCCCAAGCTGGCTTTCAATGTGTGGTGATCCTCCTGCCTCAGCCTCCTGAGTGCTGGGATTATAGGTGCATACCACTATGCCCGGCGAAACACATTTCTTTGCGGCGTCCCTGTTGCTCCTATGCCCAGAGACTTCGCTTGGCACCCAGGAGGCTAAGGGGGTGGGATGGCACATACACCACATGTCCAGAGGCAGCCGGCACACAAACCAGCGATAACAAAATCCTTTACTTAGGCGTGAAGACGCTAACAAACCTGACCACAAGCGCTACAGAAAAGATTAATTGTGGAATCAAAAGACTCCCTGTGGCTACAAAAAAATATTGGCAGAACATTTCTAGACTGCCCAGAACGATCCAGTCAATGGGAGAAAGGCATTACAGCTGTGTTCCCGTGCAAAATACTCTCAGGAGCAGTTCCCTGAGTCTGCTTGTTGGAGACCCTCTACAGCAGTGGAGAGCTAAGGGGCCAAGGAGCTAGGATTCCAGGCAGGGCCATTCCCGCCGCTGAAGCGAGACGGTCTCACACTGGAGGTCTCCACCTGTCCTGGGCCAGTTCCTCGGTGCAAACCCTGCCTGACCTGGAGCGTTCTCGGGGTGTCCATCCTGAGACTGCACCGTGGAGGTGAGAGGCCCAGGAGCAATCAGCAGGAGGAAGGACAGATAAACACAGGTAGGCTGTGTTAATGAAATGGGTGGTCCAGAGGAGGAGGAGGATGGAGCGAGGGCAGGGAGGGCACAGGTTATACTGGAGAAATTGACTTTACTCTGTAGCCCAGGTGGCCTCGAACTTGAAGTGATCCTCCTGCCTCAGCCTCCTGAGCACTGGGGTTACAAGAGTGTGTGACCACGCTCGGCCTTGGCTTTGTCCTTTCATCATAAAGAAAAAGAGTTTTTATTGGTCGGTTGGTTAGCCATTGCCTTGCCCTTACGGAAAGCATCTTTAAAGGGCTGGGCTGTAGCGCAGGGTTACAGGGCTTGCTTAGCATGGGCCAGGCCCATGCACTGGGTTCCATCCCCAGAACTAAAAATTGAAGGTGGGGAAGGAAAGAAACCTCATTTAAATGTGCAGATAGAACATGGTGATCTCATTCAGCCCAGGACCAGGCCTGCTTGAGCAGGGACAGTTGGCCCTTGGGATTCCATCACTGTCCTGGTGGGTGAGCCTCTCAGCCTGGTCCAAGGCTGTGTATAGCTTGGAAGCGGAGGCGGGTCCCATCAGCCTTGCTGAGCGTGATGCCACCACCCCTTCAGCCAGGACGCCCAAGCCTCCCGGAACCCCCCTCACGGAGCGATTTCTAGGAGTCTGCGCAGTGTGCGCCCCTAAGGAGCCGCCTTCCCGGGCCCTGGGCCGGAGAACCGTGGTCCTCTGCACGGCCGCTGAGGCAGGGCGGGCCGGGCCTGGCACTGTGTGCGGGTTTGTGAGCGCAAGTTCAGTTAGCTGAGGTCCAGGGCACTGAAAGAAAGAGAGAAAAGCATGTTACTGGTGCGGAGGAGGCACTAATGCAGGAACTGGGCAATGAATCCGGCACTAAGAACCGAGAGAGTCCACACGCTTCGGAGCAGCGTCTGGGAGAGGGAAGTTTCTCCTTGCAGGAGGAAATAATCACTGCAGAGTGAAACTCCACTCACGATTACACAGAAAAAGGCGAGCGTGGAAAGATAAGGGTGCAGACACATAAAGCGGAACTGTCACATCCACTTCCGAGGAAGCGGCCCTCTGTGGGGAAGAACGCTCCTCGGATTCAGGCCTCCAACTCGGAGGGGACAGAGGAATTAGTTTTCCGGGGGGGCACAGGAGTGCATGCTAAAGACGTCTTTTCCTAACACCAGGCTACTCCAAGAGGTCAGAACAGAACAGCGGTTTGGGAATAAGAGGGTTTGTATTTTTTTTGTGGGGGTGGTTTTCTCCGGTACCGGTAACCGAACTCACGACCTTGCGCTTGCCAGGCAGACGCTTTTGCCGCTGAGCTAAATCCCCAGCCCCTAAGAGGGTTTGTAGCTCGACACGGAGCGACGTGGGCTCTGCTTCCGGAGGAGCCGTCATACCCACAGGCCACCCTGCTGCCTGGCGCCAGGATGTGGTCAGCGAGGGCTACCACGCGAGATGCCCGGCTTTGAAAGTCCTAGACAATTCTGCAACTGTTCGCAGAAACCATAAACCCTTCCTCTTTCTTTCTTTCTTTTTTTGTGGTACTGGGGATTGAACTCAGGGCCTTGTGCACGCTAGGCAAGCGCTCTACCCCTGAGCTACACCCCCAGCCCAAACCTTCCATTTTTAAAAGCTCGGGGTCATTCAGATCCTTTTTTTGAGCAAAGTGATCCCCTAACCAAGCACCGCTTCCCCTAGCGTGCGCCTGGGGACCCGGGCAGCAGCCGTGAGTTTGCGGGGTCCCAGCAAGAGCTCGCGCGGTCCCGACACTTTTCCCTCAGCGGCGTGTGCGGCGGGCACTCCCCGCCGTGCCCACTGCGTCTTCCAGGTGAGGCGGCGGGGAAGAGCCGAAGCCAGCGCCCAGCGGTGAGGCACACACGCCGCCCGGGGCCTCGCTGGCCGCCTCCCGCCCGCGCTCTGCCGAGCCGCCTCCCCGCCTGCCCCGCTCACCTTTGGCTGGTGCACTTCCCGCCTCCTTCTCTTTACTTGGTTCTGTGTGGAAAACAGAAGCACATTTTTAAAAGCGCCCTGAGCCCTTTGTGGGTGCCGCGTCGGACACAAGCAGCAGACGGATCTGGGGATGTCGGCGTACAGTCACACCAAGCTGCGGAAGAGCAGGGTCTCAAGCTGACCTCTTTAAAAGTATACAGAAAAGCACGCATTTTGGTGGAGCACACCCGGGCACTACTGGGACTGCAGTAGATGGCATGCCGGGGTAGAAGTGAGCTTACTCTGTGGCTCATTTCATTTTAGAACTCAGTAAGGAACGGGCTTTTTACCGAAGTCTGATCCATGGGTTCTTTGCTTTCACTCTTTTTTTTTTTTTAAGGACAGGGTCTCGCTATACAGTTCAGGCTGGCCTTGAGCTCACTCTGTAGCCCAGGGTGGTCTCGAACTTGCAAGGATCCTCCTGTCTCAGCCTCCCAAGTGCTGGGATTACAGGTATGCACCACCATACCCAGGGCTTTCACTCTTTTCTTTTTCCTTCTTTTCTTTTCTTTTCTTTTTTTTTTTTTTTTTTGAGACAGGTTGTAGTGCAGGCTAGCCCTGAACCCACTTATGTAGCCCAAGCTGGCCTTAAACTCACGGTGATCCTCCTGCCTCAGCTTCCCTGGGATTACAGGTGTGCACTGCCAGGCCTGTCTCTAATTGGGTTCTAAAAGCATAGGTTTCTAGATATTATAGGAAGGCATAAAATCTGTAATTGTGCAATGTGTGCAGTTTCAAAGAAAATGTTTTGATGTACGTGAGAATCTTGTGGATTAGGTTTCCTGTCTGTAAGTGTAATACAAGCAGGGTCACCTCTGATTTTATGGGGCAGAAGCCCTGGGGCGCGTTGCTTCTGGTTAGAATCAGGAGTTCAGATCCCTGCGTGTGGGAGCCAGCTGTGTGCGCAGGGAACGGAATCTCAGCGGCGTGCGTTCTGTGTTTCTCTGACTGAGGAGCAGAGAGCCGACCTCAGCTCACCGGGAAGGACTTCAGCAGAGTTTCAGAGGAGACATGGTGGCCGTGGAGGTTAAAACTGCGATGAACGCGGCACACACATCGTAAGGGGCGTTCCTAGCGGCAGCCACCGAGACCAGCACGCAGACGGAAGCGGGAGGTGCCTCTCTCTCCGCTCACCTCCTGGCTGGCCTCGGGACCAGAGCCACGGAGCACTGGATCAGGGCTCTCGGTGTTGTAACCCTGCAGCCCTGAGCCCACGTGTCCACTGGACGCAAGAGGGACTCTCTGGTCCTGCCTGAGTTTTCCAGAGCGTGGACCTTGTATTTCCAGCTGGACAAAGGGCTCTGTGAGCAGTCAGATTGCACAGACGGCTGTCCCAAAAGTGATATCTGGGCGGGTGTGTGGTGCACACCTGTAATCCCAGCACTTGAGAGGCTGAGGCAGGAGGATCGCCGCGAGTTCAAGCCCAGCTATATTGAGTTCAAGGCAGCCTGAACTACATAGGGAGACCCTGTCTCAAAAAACAAACAAACGAAAAAGACACCTTCGACGGAAAATCCCTTCCTAATGGTCTAGGCGAAAAGAGCAGAAATGGAACTTTATCCCACGCCCGTTTTCCCCCCAGGTGGACAGGGTCAGTGTAAACTAGAGTCAGTTTAACCCTAGCACCGCTAACTCGTACTAGCTGCGGTTTATTCCATTGTCCTCCTGCCTGTGTTTGAGGTCCTCCCGGCTGCAAGCAAACCCTGCAGGAAAAGGTTTCTTAGAGCCCCCGCTGTCCCTGCAACCGTGCGAAGCCGCCGCGGTGCGCGGTGCTAGGCAGCGCGGCCTCCCTGAAGGGCAGGGCTAGCGCGCCCTCTAGGGCTGCGCGGTGGTAAGTACCCGGGCGCGGCTCTCGTAGAACGCCTGCGGGTCTCGTCCCCTTTAACAGGGCTAGGGATTTGGCTCGGCCGCACAGCGCCTGCCTGGCAAGCGCAAGTTCGTCCCAACCCCAGTGAGTTCGATTCCCGGTACCGGGAAAACAAAAAACAAAAAACTAACGAGGGCGAAGAAGGAGAAAGCGCCTTGGCGTTTTGTGCAGAGAAGCACAGCTCTGCCGCTTCCGTCTCAGGGCTCCTTGGTGGGACCCGCAGACCGTCCCGCAGCCCGAGCTGGGCGCCCCCGCGGGCTCCCCCAGGTCTGCGGGTGCGTCGCCGGCCCTGTGCTGCCTTCCAGCGATCTCGTGGGATCTCTTTATTTGTTGTTTTTAGGCTGTCCCCGGGTGGACCACAGAATACTAAGCATTCAATAAATTGGTCGGGATAATAAATTGGTGGTGGCCCCAGGGTCCCCAAAGATATTTTTGGAGGTGCCCAGTGGCGACATAATTCAAACTGGGCCGGGCGTGATGGTGCACACCTCTAACCCCAGCATTGGGGAGGCTGAGGCAGGAGGATTGTGAGTTGGCGGCCAGCCTGGGCTACACAGACCCTGTCTCATACGAACACAAACCTCAAGCCAGAGGGGCTATTGCGGTGGGTGCAGCTCCTCCCTAACACAAGAGTACTACGGACTCTGCTTCCTGTGGGGTTGGGGGAGCCCCAGGAACCCTTCGGCCTCCTCCTACAGCTCGGGCACTGCGACAACGTGTGTAACTTGACGGCTTTAGAACAACCCCCTCCCTCCCCCCCCAGGAAGCGTCCTTGACCTGAGCGCCCCGAGGAGGGCTGAACGGTCCGCAGTGCACTGGGGCTGGGACGAGAGTCCCCACGTCACCATCCGGGCGCGTGAGCGCTCACGGCCTGGAGGGGCCAAGCCATGCAGGGGTGGGGTGACCCGCAGTCCCACAGCCGTGGCTTCCACTCACCTTTGGGGGTCGGGGCGGGGTCGGGGTCGGGGGCGGGGACCGGCGCCTCGGTTTCTGGAGAGGACAGAGGACAGGAGTGTCAGGCTGGCTGTCTGCAGGCCGGGCGCCACCCGCCCAGCCGGCGTGCGCGGAGCTCGCCCTGGCGCCCAGCTCGGGTCTCACACCCCCGTGTGGGGGCGCGGGGCGGAGGGTCCCGCTCGGGGCTGCGAGCGGCGTGGACCATGCTGGGAAGAGCCCCGGGGACACGGGGCCGCGGGCATCCTTGCCGCTGGGCGACCACTCAGGGAGCGCAGGGGTGAGGCCCGCGTTCCCCTCTGGAAAGAGTCAGGCCCCAAAGCCACCCTGTAGACGAGGGCGAGGTGAGGACCAAAGGGTGGTGAGGGCACCAACGCGCCCCACCTAGGGGACCCCCTCCTAGACACGGTCACGCCGGTGTCCTCCAGCTCGGGAGCTGAGCGCCACTCTCTGTCTGCGGGCCACAGGAAGCCCTGCCGCGGGCTAGGCTGGAAATGCGCAGGCACCAGGCTCGTCCGGGATGTCCAAGCTCGAGCTCTGCGTGTGTGCCACTGGCTTTGGGTGTCTGCTTCTGGAGCAACCTGACTAGGAAGTCTATTAAAGAAATTTCTGTTGAAGGATGTACTACTTCCGGTGGGCCCGGTGGCACACGCCCAGAACTCAGAGGCTGAGGCAGGAGGGCTGCGAGCTTGAGCTACATAATGAGACCCTGTCTCAAAAAAGAGAAAAAAAGAAAGAAAGAAGAAAACTATTTTCTAACATTCACATCGCCATACATGAGTATGTTACCATTTGCTAATCAGGGGGAAAAACCCACATAATCACAGGGGACAGAACTACAGCCTTAGAGGCCGGCGGAAGTTGGCATGGCCAGATGTGATGTCATCCACCGGTCCTGCGGACCACGAGTGGTCCCTACGTGGCCTGGCCGGGGGAGCTTCCTTCTCTGGGCCACATCAAGGAAAGCGCCCTCCATGCCATCGTCCCCGGAGGTGAAGCCCTCTGTCAAAACATTTTATTTTCAGAGCGGCGCCCGGAGGGGAAACCGAATACTGACAGCTTGCTTGGGGCACAGCCCACAGATGGGTGTCGGCGTGCAGGACACCCAAGGCGGCGGCCGGCTTCCCTGACACGTTAGCGATCCCTGGGGCTGAGCCAGCCTCCCAGGGCCTGAGGGCCTCTTCCTCCTGGCTCCTGCAGGCAGCTCTGCCTGTGCCTTGCCTGCTGCCGCCGCAGACGTGATTTATACAACCGCAGCCCCTGTCCTGCGACTGCGCCTGGCTGGGCTGCCCCAGGGTGAGGTCCTCGTTCAAGGTCCTCCTTCAAGGCCCTCGTAGGGGGCACTTTCTCACCACCTCCACCACGGCCCTGTGTCCCCCATCCCACAGCGCTCTTTTCTCTTCAACCTGTGACCTCTCTGCCCCTGAAACAAGTGATGCCCTCCTGCTCCCTACCAGGCTTTCTGCTTTTTCTCCACCGAAGACTAAGCAGGTTACAATTAGGTCTGAATCCTGACTCTGTCTTATTAGTTGTGTCATCTTGGTCGATTACCTTAATCTCTCTCAGCTTCGGTTTCTCGGTCCATGATATAAGAATAATAAAATAAATGACCTTAGCCAGGCATGATGACCCACGCCTGTAAAACCAACACTCAGGAGGCTGAGGCAGGAGGATTACTGTGAGTTTGAGGCCAGCTTGGGCTTCACTGCAAGTTCAAGGCCAGCCTGGAATACATAGTGAGATCCTGTCTTAAAAAGACTGAAAAAAAAAAAAATCCAAGCAAGGCCAATGGTGAATTCCATCCACCTCAGTCAGAATCACTTTGGGCCTGAAACCAGAGGCGCACCTTTTCCTTTGTGCCCGTCGGGCCCCAGGTCTGTGACAAACGCCAAACATCCGATCAAAATGAGAATTCACGGGGCTTAAAGCAATTCCCTCCAAAGCCACGAACAGCTGACCACGGAAACGTCCCAGGCCAGCAGCGCTAAGATGCTTGCAGGATTGCTGCGTGTGGGAGAGCTGAAAAATGTGTCTTCCCTGGTGGGCAAGCAGAACCAGGACTGTCCGTCCTTAAAATCATAGAAACCCCATTACTTACAGCCAGTGATGGAAGAAATAAATACCAACTCATTAGAACCTGCCGGAATGCAGAATCTATTATATATGTATGCGTTTTTTTGTATTTTTGAGACAGGGTCTTGCTATATAGCCCAGGCTGTCCTTGAACTCAAGGTGATCCTCCTGCTTCAGCCTCCTGAGTGCTGGGATGACAGGCGTGCACCTTGACCCCTGCTAAGACCCACATAGTGAGTGACAAGGTACAGCCAGGCTGTCAGTGTCGCCTGTCCCCGTCCTTGTCGAAGGCGGTTGTGAACGCTGACAGACTTACAGTAGACGGGGACTCTTCCTGTCCCCTTGGTCACAAGCCTTGTGCAGACGCAGCCCAACCCCGCCTCCTTTCCAAGTCGCCTGCGGCAGGTGCTCTGTAAATATAGTTGCTGGGCAGGCTGCCCCCCCCAAGCCCCTTTTACTCACTGCCAGGAAACCGAGCTCCAGCCCCTGGCACTCCGGGTGCCCTGGCATCCTCATCTCCACAGGGAACGCTATGTCTTGCCGGTCACCTCCCGGGCCAGGCCGGGAGCCGCTGCCCAGGCTTCTGTCCACACAGGACTGGCGCTGCTCAATAGGCTGGGAGGGCAGTCAGGGCCGGAGTCACCCCCGCCTCATTCCGCGCTGGAAAAGCAGCAAGAGACTGGCTCAAGGGACCCACCCCGCCTGGCGCTGGGCAAAGAGCCCTGTCAGCCACCTGTGAGGGGCAGCCAGGTCGGGTGGCCAGGAGGCACCTGCCTTTCGGAGGCTCCCTAAATCCTAAGCAAATGCACATCGGTGGAGTTGAGGTCCTGCTATGGGTGCTTATTAAACATCAAAAGGCACCCGCGTGGTGCCGCACGGCTGTACTTCCAGAGTTAGGGAGGCTGAGGCAGGAGGATCACTGTGAGTTCGAGAGCAGCCTGGGCTCCATAGTGAGTTCAAGGCCAGCCTGAACTGCCTAGTGAGACCTGGTCTCAAAAAAACAACGAATAAATAAATAAGTAAACAATAAAATAAATTTTGTTTGTGTGGAGACAGTCACATATTTAGAACTTTTGCTCATATTAATTATAAATGTCACCAATCAGCAAAAACAAATTACAGCAAGGAGCAGTGGTGCATGCCTGCCTGGCACCCCAGCACTCAGGAGGCTGAAACAGGAGGATCCCCTTGAGTGTGAGGACTGCCTGGGCTACATAGTGGCTTCAAGGCCAGTCTGAACTACATAGCAAGACTCTGTCTCAAAAAAAAAAAAAATTACAGTGCATTTGTATTGTCTGTGCTGCTGATAGCGAATTGGGATGTAGTCAGTATTCAGTACTATTTTTACGGTTAGGTGCTTATTTTTGTTTCTTACTCCACTCAGTGTAATCAGTGTGTGGTCCGGTGTCTCATGCCTTGAGATGTTAGGAAATTACCTATTTTTAGAGGCAATCACAGACTGATTTCTATCAGTGGCTCTCAAAGTATGGTCTGAGTTTCCCAAGAGTCCCCAGGACCCTGCTGTGGAGTCCAAGAGCTCAAGGTACTCCCGGAGTCAGGCTAAGTCAGGCTTTGCTTTTGCCACTCATATCCTCTCACAAATCCGCAGTGAAATGCATCGGTGCTCAGGGCTCACAGGTCATGCTCGGTAGACCCCAGTACTCAGCACATTTATCAGTGCCGCTTTCCAATTAAGTAATAAACATGTTTTAGTTTCCTCAATAATTATTAAGAGCCATGTGTGGTGGCAGACACCTGCAATCCCAGCACTCAGGAGGCTGAGGCAGGCAGATCGCCACGAATTAGAGGCCAGCCTGGGCTATGTAGTGAGTTCAGGGCCAGCCTGCACTACGCAGCAAGACTCTGTCTCAAAAAACCAACATAACAACAACAAAATCATCAAGAGTGAAAGATGATCTGAGACCCTCACATTTGAAACATTTGGTTCAGAATTTACTGCAAAATTTTTAAAAGAAGAAAGTGTCCATCTGTGTGTGCACTGTTTTGCTTTTCAATAAACACATGTCATCTACCTCATGTGGGAAAAATCTGCAGCTCTGATTGATAAAAGGAAGCAGTCAGGTAGCTGGGCGTGGTGGCACACACCTGTAATCCCAGCACTCAGGAGGCTGAGGCAGGAGATTTCGAGTTTGAGGCCAGCCTGGGCTACACAGTGAGCTCTAGTCCAGCCTGAACTGCATAGTGAGACTCTGTCTCCATAAAAAAGGCAAAAAAAAAAAAGCAGTCAGAATAAAAACTGCAAATTGATTGTCCCAAGTGCACAAAAATTGCAACGAAGAGTTCATCTCGGGCAAGCTCAGCTATCTGGCTACCTCGTTTATCCAGACAGCAGCCGCTCCCAGCAAGTCAGAAGGGTCCCCACAGCCTAGGAGACCCCAAGGTCTCCAGGAAACTCATTCTGAACTGAGGAGAGCCAGCTGGGTGACTGAGGGACGGCTCCCCCTTGGGGCACCCCCCTATTCTGTGACCCCGAAAGTGAGCGCCTTTGATCCTGCTGAGACCCCAGCTGCAGAAGGCGTGGAGCGAGGCCCTGACAAAGACAAAGGCCGGCGCAGGGCAGGCGCTTCTCCTGACAGAGCCGGCCTGAAGCCCCAGGTCCTCGGAGGCCGAAAACGGAGCATCGGAGGCTGGCGCCCAGCCTGGGCAACTTGGCAAGAGCCTGTCTCAAAATGAAAAGTGAATATGCTGTGGCTGTAGCTCGAAGGGAGGCCCTGGATTTGATCTCTAGGATCACAAAGACAGAAAAAGCAAGAAGGGAGAGGGAGAGAATAGGAAGGAGCAAATAGGGAAGCTGTGACAGCTTGGGTGCAAGTACAAAGTACAAAGCAATGTAAGCCTCACCAAAAAGCAAGTAATTTAGATTTTCAGTGTATCACCCGCTGTAATAATGGATGTCCACAGTTTAAGGCAAAGTTAAATATACCCGCCGTCTCTTTTTTTGCATT